GTGTGAATTGATATCTCGAATAGATACTATGATTTTTTAAGGGATGTTGATGCTCATAACAATCTTAGCAACACTTTTGAGCGGATAAGATTATCGTGCTCTCGAAGAACCTTTCTTCACGTAGTTCCTTCCCTGAACTCATGTTTTTTGAGCTCGTGCACACGATGATTTGAAAAGCATTNATTAAAAGGTTCACATGTTATCAAGCATGAATTTTTTCAATCTTAGCAATACTTTTGATTTCAAAATTAAATTGTAGCACGGTGCATCGTTACCGTTCTTTGCGTTCATGGGTAACGACATCTACAACTATATGCTGAAGTTCTGCAGAAGTTCACCAATCGAATTATTCCACGTCAAAATTCCACATATGTGGGCGCTGTTATTCGCAGCTTGCGTTATGCAGTAAGCTCTATCCATTCTTTACAGCTTGGAAACGATTTTAGTCGGTTGCAAAAGGTTTCTCGGATACATTGGAGATTATTGAATTGAATGTTGAACGTTTCTCCAGCAAATAGGCGTTGAACCTTCGTTATTGAAATGAATATGTATTGATTACAAACGAATTCAGCATTTTTTTAAACGAATATTTAACTGATATGAACTAATTGTAAGTAATTTTTTCATATAGCATAAATTCTGTACTTTCAATTCCTACGGGCGAATAACTGCTGCGAAAATTTTAGTTATCAGTGAACAGACAGTTGAGGCTTCCCAGAGCAGGAGTTGAGAATTGAGTGATTAGGAAACTGGGAAATCAATGGACGTTTCAACTTTGTTTCGAAATTTCTTTTTGGGTAACACTGAAAATGCGAGCAATTTCAGATGGGTTTGTATACGATTCGTGTATCGTTTGAACGCAGAGGTTCGAGCGTTGACCGTTACGTTGGTGGTCACTTTGCGTAAGTTTTTGTCGCTATTGATCTCGATTCTGTGGTTCAAGAATCCGTTCACGATACAACACTGGATCGGCGCGATACTCGTCTTCTCGGGAACGCTCGCCTTCGCGGACATTTGGGATAAATTTTCGTCGAAGAAAGAACTGGAGAAGAAGAGTGAGTAGCGAAATTGATGCGAAGAAATTGGAAGAGGAGAACATTCAGTATATTGGTCGAGCGCATTTCACCATATTTCGCCGCATTTCGCCGTGAAATTATTCAAAAAACGATATTGTTAGGCACAGACTGTTT